AGCAAGATGGGTTGAACTAAGATAAACAAGTGATTAACGGCACGTGCTCAAAAATTAGTGCGTTATTTYCTAAAATGATAATACTATTTCGCACAAGTAAGCCAACATATAGTATATATTAAATAACGAATCCATAATGGTTGGTTTTCTGTTATCAATATCATCATCTGGCCATCGAGCATATAAACAGATAACCTTACCTTTCAAACAAGCAACAATGCCTGTGGGATTTTYCTTGCAAGAAAGGATATCTAAAAATTGCACAAACTTACAGCTCATTCATTTTTGTATCAAATTGGCGAGTGTCAAACTGAGAACCTTCTGGTGCTACGCCTGCCATGACTGCAAAAAAATAGCAACAATTAACCTCCACAAACAGGAGAAGGAAGAACCAGCAGATCTACACATGTCAATGTCTCATACCAACAGAGGGTTTTACACAAAAATTTCTTTAACTACGAATCCTCCTACACGAGTACATAAAAATACATTGTCATGAGTTATAGAAATTTGTAAGAAACCAGTTAATTTCTACTCCCAATGCTCAATTGACCTATTCTGAATCAGAAAGCATACTCAATGGAAAGTTTGAATGTTGGTAATCTGATTATGAGAGTTGAAAACTATGAAAAGAAGCAGTTTGCAATGGTTGAATACTTCTGAATGTAGAATTTCTTACAATTTACAATCTCAAACCCTAGATCTGAATCCAAAAGAACGAAAGATAACATTCAAAATCAATCCAAAATCGTAACTTCATTAATTAATCAAAAGAAAAGCAACCCACATGTATACGGAATCAAACCCACAATTCCTTGAAGAACAAAAAATCCCAACTCAAATTCACAATAAAAAGGTCAAGGCCATACCTGTAACTATCGGAAATCGATTACGAACAGTTGAATAATTTGGGGAGACGGGTCTGAACTTCTCAAACCCACAAAAAGACCTAATCAATATCGGATTACGACAGTGAATTGAAGAAGAATTGGGAGGTGGAGGTATGAATCGAAAGGAGCCAAAACTAAGACCTTGCAATCGAGCGTGTTGGAGGCTTCAATCGTCGTCTTGGAGGCCTCAATCGTCGTCTTGGAGGCCTCAATCGTCGTCTTGGAGCCTCAATCGGCGTCTTGGAAACCTGCAATCGAGCACGTGAGCGTGCTTGAATCGGGAATGATGAGCCTGCTTGAAAGTGTCTGGTAACCTAAATCAACACATCAGTGATAATTTGAAGCTTTGAGTGTAGTATAGATAGATATAGATATAGATATAGATATAGATATGTATAAAAGGAAACTGAAGCATTATTGAAGTGATACGGTGATAGTAGTCTTTATGGTGGGGCCGACCATGCTTTCCTTTTTGAATGAGCCCAGATTTATGACGCATAATAACTTGTAGTTTATGCATCAAAGGTAAAGGGGTATTTTGGGTATTTATAAATTTAAGACTTTAAGACTTTGGATGAAAATGCTTAATAAAGTAGTATATATATATATATATATATATCATTAAAAGCTTATTTGTGTGTTGTTATTTGTTATTTAATCCAATTTCATTCTATCACTCGCCATATCAGCATGGAAACTTGTTAATGTTTCAACTAGTTACTCAGATACCTAAATGTTTAAAACTTTACATATTAGGTACCAAAATGGAAGTTCTGAGAATACGTTAACCAAAATATAAATCAAGTTAAGGTACGTTACTTTTTCATGCAATTTATCCTAAAAATATATAAGGATCAAAATCAAACAAAGTCAATATATATTTAGTTGGGATAAATATGCTAAAATTTGTAAGCATGCATATGCACTATCTAAGTATCTAGTGATCATCCAAATACCCCATAATATCTTGGACTATAAAGCCCATGTTTTCATAGACAAGCATTTTGGACTAAAATGTAATAAAAAGGCTAACATAGGATTAAATGGGTGTTTAATAACCCGACATCCGATCAGTCCAATCTAACCCAATACAAAATAATTTAACTGAAGCAATTTAATGTCTAATTGAGTTGTAAAATATTTGAACCATAGGTATTTGGTTGGAATTGAGTTACAGTTATTTGAACCCAACACAATCCGATGAACCCGATATCATTTTATTTCTTGAATGTAATATGATTGTTGAGTCGATGTTAATATGTGCATCAGACAATTACGTAGTTACGTACCATCTCCATATACATACATTTTCAATATTTTTTTGGAAGGGTATCACGGGTTATGATTGAATTAATCCAGACAAATTTTGATTGCAAGAAGTCGGCCCTGATAAAAACTTAGTGGTTACAATTGTTGTGTGTGTCACAACCCTAGAAAAGTCGCTCACTTGGGGAATGATCAGAAATCAGGCAAATTGTTACTTCTGGTAATTGTTCATTTAATATTTTTGTTACTTATGAAACTACCAAAAACCAGATAAAAAGGCATTAGTTGATCACCCTCGCCTAAAACTTGCTATTTGATTTTAAAAGACACCAGACTGCCAAATTTATGTTTCTCATGTATCTCGTGCAATATACATTTTCGTCATTAACAACCTAACACCAATTTTGATACTGACGCAGCACTTACACGTATCTAATGATGTCAGTATGAATATATGTGGGACCCATCTTGATATTTCACTAAAAAAAATCATATAAAGAGATGAGAGGTTCATACACATATATATGTTTGATGATCTAAGTCTAGCCGATGTGAGTTTCCAACACAAGCTCTCAAATGAAGGCTAGACAGTGTCCCTAAGACTGGAGATGAAAGAGTGTGTCCAGTGGTGCTAGACCCCGACTCTGATACCACTTAAAAATATATCTGATCAATTTGAATATCTTTCCAGAAAAACCTTTATAGAAAATGAGTGGTTTATATATATATATATATATATATATATATATATATATATATATATATGTATATATATATATGAGTTTAGTTGTCGATGATTAGCCAATTTGAGACTTCCACAATCAAGATTATGTTCATATTTGCTGTAACAAGTTAACAGCTATTTATATGTTCATTGAAATCTGAATCATTTCATACGGGTAAAAAATTATAAGAATTATAGTTATATATACCGTAATAGATATGCATAAAGACTGGACTTTTAAAGGCAAGTGCTGGGTTTTATTTTCATTTTGATAACTAAGATGTAAAGTTTTAAATATTTAAGTATTCGAGTAACCGATTGAAGTATTAACCGGTTACTATGCTGATGTAATATCCAACTTATTATTAAGATATCTATGTTAATATCACTCGTCACATCAGCATAGTAATCGGTTAAGCATAGTAACCGGTTAATGCTTAACCGATTACCTAAATACTTAAATGTTTAAAATTTTACATTTTAGGTGTCAAAATGAAAGTTTTGAAAATATGTTATCCAAAATAAAAATCAAGTTAAAAGTAAGTTATTTTTTCATGCAATTTGCCCCGTTAAAACTTCAAACTTTTTATAAAAAAAAAGACAAAAAACAAAAAGAGTTATAAATAGAAATGAGGGTTATTGAGGAATGATGAAATCAAATACGTTTCAATAAAACCACCAAAAAAACCCCGAGCTTCACACATACATACTCTCAGGACTTGAGGACGAAGAAGAAGAAGATCGCGACTGTGTGCATACACCGATCACTTATTTACATCATATCATCGATCAATCACGTTCGGTATAATCTCTTGTTTCTTATTCTCGAATCGATCAAATGTTATCGATGGATTTCAATCGTGAATTTTGCTTAAATTGAAGTTCGAATCGGTTTTCACTCCGGAGTTTGTCGTTAGGTCTGAGTGTTTTTCGTAATGGTAAATGAGTCTATGTTGGTCAATTTGATCTTAGGATGATCACGTCAATTGTTAATTGTTAGGTTTAATCTGTTGCGCTACTGGTTAGATATGAGAAACGTGAAATGTAAGTTGAGATTTTGAGTTAATTTCATCGATTTTAAACGAGGTAAATGCGATGGAAAAAATTTTGTTTTTATTATCTGTAAAAGAGTAATGTAGAGCTCGCCAACAAGAAAATTGACAAAATGTTGAGGCTTCCTCTTAAAAAAGAGCTACCCTTTGACTTTAGATCTCGAAACATCTAATTTGTCAATCTTTTGTTGATACGATAATTTGGATGTTGAGAAAGCTAATTGCTCTAAACTACAAATGAAAAATGTTGGTATTAAACATTTGAACAAAGTACTAAGCTTGGTATGCCAAATCAAATATAGCTCATAGTGGAAGGAGTGCCATTTGTGTTTGCAGTATCTCTTCAAATTCTAAAGACTGGAAATGATAATTTCTTCATGGGTTGTATTCGCCCAAATGGGAAACAAAGATGGAGTGTCAACTGGTTACTTGATACAATATACAAGTAATACTATTCATTTAAATTTATGCCCACCAAAGCATCATCATTACGGGTTCAAGGACCGGTGACTTACTCATAGGTTTTAGTTGTAATGTGCTTTTTTTTTTTTTTGTAATTTTCTTCCAATTCTGACATATAAATCTATACATTTCCCATCCACCTTTTTGGAGTTACGATAAGCTATTTGGCAGCTCATACATCTATAGTGGTTTCATTTAATCGTAAACGGTCTGATGATGCCCACGTGGTAGTACTTTAGATTACCTGCCATTTTCGCTTTGAATAGTGTCACTATTCTATTAAATTTAAAAGTGAAAGGTGCAATTCTGTAATAATTTCAGAAATTCAAACACGTTCCTAAACGCCAAAATCGTCTTGACATTTCTATCCACCTTTTTGGTTGATACAAGTATGTTTGGTGTTTTAGAGAGGTTCTGCAGTTTGTTTGCATATAATCAACTGATTTTTATAATATTGTGGTCTAGTGAATGGTTACTCTTAAGGTTTGGTAAATTTTGTAAGCCTGGGAAAATATCTATATTTCATAGACGAGTTATGAACATATCTTATTTTACTTGGCAAATGTCATGAACATATCTTATTTTAGATAACAATCATTATAAACATTTGATCTTCACATGGCAATTGATTTCCATCATTGTAAATTTGACGTATTTATAATTTAGCACTTAGTGCCATTTGTTGTTTCTTCAACTTAACTAGCCAAGTGGTTGGTGAGTTGAGCTTGGTTTGCATTGGAGTATGCACATAGACCACAATAGATAAGTCATATGCTTCATATATGGAATATAAATATGGATGTCAAAGCCTTGTATATGTTGTTCTGGCGTAATTCTGGATACATTGCATGTCAATTTATATCATGATCGCGAAACGTGCAACACCATTGTAACCTAAACAATCTAGTAATCCTCACGTGTCTCCTAATTGAGTATTGTTCCTTTTGTGCACGTTTTCTTGAGACATTACTTGTTTTGTAGTATTATTATAATTTTGCTATAAGCCTTGGGTTTAGATATTGATGGAGTGTGAATGCATCTGCAAAAGTCAATGGCTGTATGTGCACATAATTTGAAGCCAATTACCCTATTATCTGACTATATTGTTCCTGTCATACTTAATGAAGAGAAATGTTAGTTCCATGACTAGATCTTATTTTGATTTTCTCTTGAAAGGTCTCATGATGCCATGGAAATTTTTGGGAATTTTCAAAAAGTCAACCTCCTTGAGTGCTTTTGAAAGTTCTAAGAGATATGATTTAGTTTCATTAGTTGGACAGAGACTGTGACTGTTGTCGTTTTATTTTCTCATCTGTTTGGCCTGGTAATTCATGTCAATATTGTTTTATCTTTTATGGCCTGGTGTAGGCCAGGAAGACAGGGAACAGCAATCATCAGCGGTAAGATTGGCCAGCATAGTTACAGACTGGTTGTGAGTTTGAGCTTGCAGTTCTTATTTACTTCAATTAAATAGGACCATTTTGCCATGTATTTTTAAGCTCTTGTTTACCTTTACTAATCCTGTCATGTCTGCTCTTTCTTATCTCAGAGTAGCAGTGTTACAAAAATAAAACCCATACAAACAAGAGCGGAGTAGAATGATTTGATGCCATTTGTCTTGGCGTTCCTCTACAATGTCCGGGATACTTAATGTATTTTCTATACTCCATACTTATTTTAGTTGTAATGGATTTCTAGTAATATTGTGCTTTGCTACTGAAGTGCTGATGTGCTTCAGGCTTTAGTGGAAAAACTAACAGCTTAGTTTAATTCTGCTTCTACACAACATTTACAATGCTTAAACTCAATGCATTAACACTGGTTGTAGTTGGATAAACTGGTGCTTAGTAGGCAATGTCAATCTGCATTCATGCATTACAATCTCAATTTATATACTGTTGAAGTTGAATGATTTTTGGTCTGCAGTCAGGTGTGAATGGCTCAACATCAACTTTTCCAGACGCCACTGGAAGAGCTTTTACTACAGCATTTTCTGCTCAGTTAGGCTCCTCTGCTGCTGATATGAACCATACTGATGCAATAGGTGCGTTCAAGTTTTCAATCTTTACCATTTCATTTCTTATGGGATTTCCGTACACTCACTTTGGTAAAAAGACGTACTAGGGTTGCGAAGCATAAATGGGAACTTCAACATGCCCAGCATGCCTGGGGCATACACATCAAGAAATTCGGGATTAAATGGTCCTTTGAATGGTGTACAACCACCTGCGGGAAGTATATCTAATGGACGATATGCAGTAAATAATCTTCCTGTTGCACTTTCTCAGGTATTATGATTTTGGAAAACTTTTGAAGTCATTAGTCACCCTTTTTGTACACTTCCATCTCTCTTCCCCTCCTTTCATGTTTAGAAGTAAGGATGGAAGGAGTATGCGGTGCTGTTCAACTATACCTATAACTTTTTTTTTTTGTTGAAATTGGTATAATGCAACCCCTTAATCCATTCATTAGAAATATAATGAAGTATTAAGGGATATAAAATACACAAAAAGGATAAGCTTTTGTCATTTCTTACTCTTAGTCATCCCATCCACCCTCCCATATGCTAAGATTTCATAAAGTTGCTTTATGATTAATCAACCTGAATCACTCCTCTGCACCCACATGTATCTGTATGAGCTATTCTCATACTATCGTTACTAATACAATGCATCCTAAATTTCTTATCAATATGATTGTGCTCATTCTCATCTACACATTGTTTTTTGTGTGCTTTCTTTTGGATGAAGCAATCTGCTGCCAGCTCCCTTGGACTTTCTGGGATTACAAACAATGGAGGTATGGTATGGTATCACCGTATCAGTTTGAGTAAAACATGGAGTTTTGTCGTTTATTATTATCACATCTTTGATTCCTTTCTCCAGCTCCTCATATGTTTAAGAGTACAATTTCAGGGTCAGGTATAGCACAAAGTTTAGGGAACAGAGAACAAATTATAAGCTCAATGGCAATGGGTAACCTTGTTAATGGTGGAAACATTGGAAGAAGTTTAAGCTCTGGTGGACTGAATATGCCTGGGGTTGCTTCTCGCTTGAATCTAACTGGTAACGTTGGACCACAACATTTTGCAATATCTTTGCTTTTCTAGAATGTTATGATGATTTGTTAAATTCAAGTGCATGTCGCTGCAGTCATGGATCCTCTAGCATGTATATTATGCATTTTTGATATTTTTCTTAACCATTTTTGGAGCACTCCACTCATGCTACATTGTATAGCATGTCTGAATTGTATGTTAAATCAAATACATGAAGATAAAGCCTTCATGTTCTACCAAAAAGTAACTTGGTGTGTTGTTTGAATGACTGCTGAAACTTTAGCACCCCAGATGGTATCTCTGCTAGGAAATTCTTACTCTGCAGCTGGGGGGCCACTCTCGCAAAATCAATTTCAAGCAGGGAATAATCATTTAAGTTCGATGGCATTGTTATCTGAACTGAATCGTGACCATTCTTTTGACATGAACGATTTCCCTCAGTTAAGTGGGCATCTTAGCTCTGCTGGTGGTTCTCAAAGACAGCTAGGTACTATAGCTACTGAACCATATGAGACCTGCATCACCTTCTTGTTTAATCTTATTATGCTGTAAGCAGGACATTACAGTAATTTCTTTGCTTATTACTATGCAGGGGGATTGGCGCGCAGGCAAAATGTGGGTTTTATGCAACAAAACCAAGAATTCAGCATTCAAAATGAAGATTTTCCTGCTTTACCTGGATACAAAGGTACATTAGTCATCTTCTCTACATTCCTTGTGTTGTTTGTGTAGAACTTGGCTCCTCTCATGTTCTTGTCAAGGAAATGTTCTAGTGTCAATCTCATATCTTTGCAGTTCATGAGGAAGTACTGAAGATGTTGTATTATTTTGGACTTGGTGCCCTTTTTTTGATACTTTTATTTTGCCAAGCTGATGTAGATTACATAAGAGATGTTCATAACTCAGACAACTTAAGTTGGTAGGTCACTAATAGCATTCTTCATTATCTTTGTTGGTGATTTAGTTTTTTTTTCGTTAAATGGTGTGAACTTTTGAGTGGTCATTGTTTATTTAGTTGTTCTGCCCCACAGCAGGAGCGTAGAGTTTTATTATGGCTTTCTTGCATCTGTTTGCAGGCCATACAATTTCTGTTATTGTTGATTAAAAGGTTTCTCCTATTTACATATTTTATCCTGAGTAAAGCAACATTTGGTATGAAACCATCTATCATAGGTAGGAGTAGGAATGCTAAGGGAACCTGCTGTTAGGGTGCACATCCTTGAATCCCAGTTACTCATTTAGTAGAATCAATTGTGTGACTTAATTCTGTCCTGCATCAGTCACGGCCGCCAAGTTTTTTTTCACTAACGAGCATCCTATTAAATTTTCAATGAGCTATCTATCCTTACCCTACCAACTAGAAGAGAAAGGACCCCATCTATTATGTTTGTACAGAGTTTTATATTTAAAGACCTGTGCGTCCTTCTAATTTTTCGTGGTGAAGTTGTTAAATTCGAGAACTATAACTGACAGCTAGTTCAGTACCAGGTTTTGCCATTTTTGTTCATTTTGCTGAGCTTGTATAATTTGGATACTATGTAAATCTGTTAAAAGGTGCATCTTAGTGTTCTGCAGAGTTCATCATTTATATAATTTGATAATTGTCCGTTCCTTTATCTTGTGTGTGTTAAATTGAGAGAAATGGCCTAGATTCTGCTATCTTATCTAGTTGGTATAAGGTTTCAGAATTGTTTGTAACACAGGATTAATGCTGTGTTACATAATTATAATCTTCAAGGAGTTATAGATATCCAATCAAGCAGCACAAAGCATATTAATTAACTTACAACAATACGACCCTGCATGTCAGAGGAGTAGAAACACCATTTCTTTTTAATATCTTAATAAAAACGGCTAGCTCTGAGCCTACTTATACTTCTCATTGGCTTTAATTAACGTCTTGATCTCAGTCTCAGTTGATATCAGAAGAGGGGGAAGTAATGGTGATATTGAGATGGATTTCTAGTATTATCTTAATGTGAGAAGCAAAACAGTATGATAATGAAATAGGTGAACTGATGGATTACTGGCTATACTGCTGTGTTTGAATAGTGACATTGCATATGTACAATACATGTTGAAGATAAAGAAGCAAGTATCAAAAACCAGAAAATGTATACTGAATTATTCATACTCCCTTTCTAGTAGTTCTGAGCAACTGTATGGAATATACCGAAATAATTCATATTCCTTTTGCAGTAACTCTAAGCAACTGCATTAAGTGCGATAACTCGGTTGAGGTAGACTAATTTAATAAAAGAACAGGGTACAGTCCTGGTCAATGTGATTATCTGACAGTCTTACGTGTATCAAGATGAGAGAGCTCCAAACTACACCGACACACCAACATTCCACGTGTATCAAGATTAGAGAAAGCTCCAAACTCTACCAACCCCACCGATCCCCTCATAAACTTAAAGCTTTGATCCTCTCTTCTTTTCCATCTTACATACTCGCTTCACCTTCCTCATCTCAAACTCTGTTTTGGGGAAAAATCATAATCCAAGAATCTCTTGTTACTTTTATGTGCAAATCATTGCCTTCTGGAGGCTTGGAAATGAAGGGTGAAGAGACCTGAAGAGTAGTGTGGCCGGAAATATTAAAGCCCTAATTTTCCATTCTATGGGTATAAGTGTAGCTTGGATGGAAATAGTAAAGCCCTATCCTTCTTCAAGCTAGTTTCGTTGTCTTACGACCAATCTATCAGTTTCAAAGTAATATTGTTCTCCGTCCCATTTGAGAATATGGGAGGTATGTTTATTGTTGTATAACCATAATCAGATAGAGAACTAGATTCTATTTTATATGATTAATATGAAGCATCCATCTCATTCCCCACATTAGATTTCACCTGCTTCTTTTGCATATATTTAATGTTGACATTCCTTAAAAAGAATCAAGGTAGCTTTGGATGCAGTCGCTGTACCAAAGGTCTCAACTTCTTAAATTTATTCCGCAAGTTACTTGATTCTTAGTTTCTCTGCGATGTAGACAGGTGACACTTAACATCAAATACTGGGAAAGTTGCTTGGTTCAAGTTTGATCAAGAATCAAACATTAATACAAACAGGAGACACTGACATTCTGCTTTATGTTTACCACCAGGATGGTGAATGATTTGTAAATCATGTAAAATTTATCTTTTTTATATCTACTGTTGTTGGGGTCGGTAAAACTCAATCCAGATCGATGAAACTGAAGAATTGAACCAGGACTGGACCAAACCCGCTATCTTCAGTTCGGTTCTTGGTTCAAGATTTCTTCAAAAATCAGTTCCGAGTTTGGCTCGGTCTGGTTCAAACTGGAACTGAACCACTTCTATTTTTATTTTCAAACTTGAAACGACGCTGTTTTAGGTTTATATTTTTTTAAATTAAAACAAGCCTAAGTGTGTATTCGGTTCATGGTCGGGTTTGAGACCCAGCTGTTTCCAAACAGGAACTGAACTGATACCACATTGGCTTCAATCAGTTCGGCTTTTCATTTCAAATAATTAAAATTTTCAGTTTTGCCCCGTTTCAACCCAATGCGGCAATGCATACCGCTAGTTGCTGCTGTTGTTGTTGTTATTGTTGTTGTTGTTGTTGTTGTTGTTGTTGTTGTTGTTGTTGTTGTTGTTCTGTTAAATCTTTCTGTCAGTATTATTATGATTGTAGCTGCCATCCTCTTGGAGTTCTTTCGACTTTGATCATATCATATATTATGTAAAATTCAGTTATTTTTCTAGACTGGCAACAGAAAGCGTCATTTGACATTCTGGGAGCATTGATCTGTGTTATGCTTCTGCTTTCTGGCTTTGTTTTTCCATAGGAACGATGCTTAATGTGGAGTAGTTTTCATGTTAGAAATAGAAATGTGTGTCGCAAGAGTGAAATTTAAGTCTATAGTACCTCCAAAAGAATCCGACTTTTCATTTACAAAATGTACTTGATTCCTCTTATCCCAATAACCAAGAAAGGTTGTTTTTTATCTCATCAAATTGCATTACTTGTATATCTCACCAATGAGTCTGGAATGTGTCCTTTTTCATGGGGTAAATAGTACTCATTATTGATCATGGCCTTTTTTCTGTAACAGGTGGTAATGCTGATTTTCCGGTTAATATGCACCAGAAGGAACAACTTCGTGATAATGTGGTGTCTATGATGCAATCCCAGCAACATTTGCCTGTACGTCTTATTTTAAATGCTATTTATATTGCAGCAAGTTTCTCATAAGCCAGCCAGCCAAACGATACTAATTTATTCTTGATTCTCAGGTTGGAAGATCCGGTGGATTCAGCTTGGGAGGTGCATATTCATCACATCAACAACAGCAGCATGCTCCAATAAATGGCGGTTCCTACATTCCTGCAAACACTCTAGATCTCCATTTTCATGGTTCTGAGGTGGTGTATACTCCCATTACGAGCTTATTATATCAATTTTGATGCAATGTTGGCTTTTCATCTGGTTTTTACAGTGTTGATCTTAAACATTCAGATCCTTAGTTCTATAAGGGTGCGTTTGGTGTGTGGAACAAGACAGGACATGACATAACAAAAACCTGTCCCACATTTGGTGCTACATTTAGGGTCTTGTTAGCAGACCCACAGTTTATTCGGTCAGCTATACATGACTGTTTGGTAGTGGCTTATTCAGTAAGCTTCTAGGGGTAAACTTTATGCAAAAAGTCAAGTTTTTTCTAAAGCTGCTCATCCCAATTAAAAAACACGCTTAAGAACTTAATGGAAAAACCCTCCAAAATAGAAACCTTCCCACACAGACAGTAATTCACACAGACAACTTTATCCATACAGAACTTAATGGAAAACCAACCAAACATTCCCTTGGTCTGGGACAGGACAGGACTGAGTGTGACAAAAATGCATTTTTATTGCCCCACCAAAATAGGTGGAACAAAATTAGGGAGATGATAAATTATTAAATTACCCATGTCAGTATTTAAACCCTAATACCTTCCACAAGTCTTTCACCCGCCTATGTCACTCTCACATGTCCAGTTCTGTCTGCGTACCAAATGCACCTTGAACTTTTTTAGATTTATCTAAAGGTGTGATATGCTATTTCTTTAGGCAAGAAACTCGGGGATGCTTGCCACTGGATCAAGACCTGTAAACTTGTCAAACACAGTATCGGGTGGAGGATCCTATGATCAACTCATGCAGCAGTATCAACACTTCCAAAAACAGTCGCAGATACGCCTTGTCAGCCCATTTCGGGACCAGGATTTGAAGTCACCCCAGGCATCTCAATCTGTTACCGACAGATTCGGATTGCTAGGTTTATTGAATGTCATAAGGATGAACAATCCTGATTTGACCCCCCTTGCTCTAGGTATTGATCTGATGACACTAGGTCTAAACTTGAATTCTCCCGACAATCTGTACAAGAAATTTTCATCTCCATGGTCTGATGAATCTGCAAAGGGCGAGCCCCATTTTGCCATTCCCGAGTGTTTCAATACCAAACAACCATCTCTCCTAAATGTGAGCTATTATTCTCTGTGAACTTTTGTCTGCTTATGAGCTTTAGATATCCATCTCAGCTGATCTCATTTCTATTTGTTTATTGCAGCAAGATAGTTTCTCGAGATTTTCTCCAGAGACTTTGTTTTATATTTTCTATAGGTGACTTTCTCTTCTCTCTTGAATGCTCGTTTTGTTATATGCTTTCTGACAATCAACATTTACTCATTTTGCAGCATGCCGAAGGATGAAGCCCAGCTGTTTGCAGCAAATGAACTGTATGTACCGTTTCACCTCTCCATTTTCAGTATTTTATATTTTTGTATTTTTTTCTCCGTTTTGATCTTAAGTTTGATGAAAATACGGCTCCAAGAAAGTTAACCAAATGCTCGGGTAAGTTGCTCTGCTGATTTACACAGCAAGTTAGCTCACTTATTAAGTCATCATTCCATGTTTGGGGGGGGGGGAGGGGGTCTTCACGGAAACAGTTGCTCTGCTCCCTGGACAGAGCCGACCCCACCCGCAGGTGGGATATATGGGCTCGTGTGGTTTGGTTTGGTTAGGAAAGCGTGATAAAATTGAGTCTTAAGTTGTTGCAGAGTAAGGGCATGTTTGTTAGCAGCTTAATGAGCTTAATGACTGTTTGGTAGTGGCTTAATGATATAGAAAGTGGCCTATTCAGTAAGCTTCTAAGGGGGAAATTTATGCAAAAAGCCTTTCCAAACCTACACCTCCCAATTAAAAAACATGCTCCTTCCACCTAGGAAAAAACTCTCCCAAATAAAAGCATTCTTAATCTATACAGACAACTTTATCCAAACAGGACTTAATGGAAAACCAACCAAACACCCCCTAAATCACTTGGACTCAACTGAACAAATCAAGCATGCTGTTTTTAGTGGTAATGTACCAACTGCTCTAAACAGAACCATTTTCATCCATTCATCATTCTGTACTCTGTGGGTCCCATTTTCATTTCGCAATGCATCAAGTAAATGCAGTATCACAATTACATCTCTTTCTTCTCACACCATATAAATAGAACTTAAAATGATAAAAGTTAACCGGCAAAATGAGCAGGACATTGGCCGTAACCTAACTCTTTTGCTGATTCGTTAATGGCCATACTATCCTTATGTGGCTCATCGCCTATGATCTTGAGGAATAGATAGAAATGAATTATCTCCTGCAAATATTTATTACCCAAACAGGAAGTGTGAAAACAAAAGGATGACGTAGTAATGCTTTGAAAGCCCTGATTCGCACCTTATTTAACTCTCTCTTTTGTGTTCGTATGCATCTGATCCTTGTATGGTTTTAGGGTTTTAATTTGATATCACTGACGGGACAGGATGGTTGAGAGTGAGGTAAGTGTGGGTGAAAGAATTGTACAAAGTTTTAGGGTTTTAATTTGACATAGGTAAGAGAGTGAGGTAGCCGGGTGAAAGAATTGTGCAAAGTTTTAGTAGGGTAGTTTGATAATTTACCAATATTGTCCCACCTATTTTGGTGGGACCAAAAAAACTCATTTTTGTCCCGCCTACTTTAAGGGTGCATTTAATATCCAGGCAGGACAGAACAAATGTGAAGCGGTTGATAAGACAAAATAGATAAATGACCAATTTACCCCTGTTGAGTTGTTTATATATTTTGATCAAGTAATTTATTAAATTGTAATAAAATAGATAATTTTTATAAAAATATATCATTAGAAAGTTTTCGTTTAAGACACATTAAATTGACACCAAAATAAGATGTTTATATAATTTCCAATCTTTATGTTATACTTTTTCTATATTAGTATTTATTATTAATGTTCAATAAATTACATAAATTAACCAAAATATTGAAACCATATAAACATAAAACTTTGAAGACAGTAAAGTGAAAGTTTAAAAATCGTAAAATAAAATATAAGGAATGAATAAAATGTAAAGATGGATGCGTATTTGATGTTCTAGAAGAGAATTAGGTTTTATGTTGAAGTTATATTGGTAAAATATACGTCTGTTTCATCTTGTTCCATGGGGTGGAACACGCCTGTTTCACTTTGTTCTACTCTGCTCCTGTTTCCTAAATATCCAGTCCCACATAAAAGTACTGCCAAACATGGATCAAGTTTCCAAAATATCCTGTCCTGTCCTGTCATGCATACCAAATGCAGAAGTATCTTGTGGCAAGTAGTATACAAGTGATTTATATGAAGCTTTAAGTATTTTATTTCCTAAGTTCGATTTCTACTCGGTTTCTTTGGCCAGCCTAATCCTTCATGGTATAACAGGAAGTGTTGCAAACATATGAACTTATCGTGGTTGATTCTTTTGAACATTCTGTTGCAGGCACAATAGAGGATGGTTTTATCACCGAGAGCTACGCCTATGGTTCTCAAGGGCTCCAAACATGGAACTGCTAGTTAAGACAAGCACTTACGAGCGAGGTTGTTACTACTGTTTTGACCCCAACACCTGGGAAACAATTCGAAAGGTTTGGATTTATTGAATTTCTGCATTGTTAAACTTTCTAATAAGAGAACCGCAAGAATGGCCAAATCACGTGATTTTACACTGAAATCACATGTGATTATGGCACGATCCCATTGTAAAATCTCACATGAATCGACTGTTCTCGTGTTCTTTTATTTTGACCTGTTCTCACTTGAACCTCCCCCCTCTCTATCTCTCGAGATATATATATAGATATATATATAGTGAGGTTCATACGAGAACAGTAACCAACGCATCTGATTTTACACTTATAAAAACGTGGAAAATCCTGTGTTTCATGTGACTTTGGCTGGGGCCATGTCGCCGACACAACCTTGCCTTGACTGTTAATGTAAAATCACATGCGATTTTGCACGTGATATGACCGTTTTCGTGTTCTCTTATTTAGTTAATGTTCTTGTTTGAACTTCTCTACACACACACACACACACATATATATATATATTATATATATATATATATATATAGGTAGGTAGGTATGTAGAGAGAGAGAGAGGGGTTCAGTGGAAAACCCTCAAAAACATGAAAAAGATGAGGAACACCTTAATCACCGTTCATCTGTACGGTATGCACATGTGCATACAAGTAATTGAAGATGTTTTATGGTTTCTATGCACGTGTGCATACTGGAAATATTACTTACAAATTACTTGTATGCACATGTGCATATCATACAAATGAACGGTTACCATGGTGTTCCTCAGTTTTTCATTTGTTCTGCGGTATACACTGTGTATGGCTGTGAAGTATAACTGATTATTGTTTAATTTGCATTGCAGGACAACTTTGTTGTCCAATATGAAATGGTGGAAGACCGTCCGGTGCTCCCCCGTCGTTAGTCCGATCATATGCAGCCAGGAAGGGAAGCACATGGACTTTTGTTTGATTTAAATCAATCTTTTAGAAGAAGTTATAACAGTAGTAGTACTATATACAATTAAGCCAAGTAACAAAGATACATCTTAGAAAACATCAATGTGCTGTTTCAGTTCAGATATATGCATGCTTTTAATATTTGTGTTTTAGAAATCTCATCACAAATATATATGTTGTACTTTTAATCCTCTTTTATGCTTGCATTCCTGCTTTGCTAGTTGTACATTGTGCATGCCACACTTGTACTGTCTCTCCCACTTGGTTTTTTGGTTTTAAAAATGCAAAAAGAAAACTCGGAAGGTGTTTGGTTCGTATGATGGAATTTGGTGGAATTGGAATCTATCATTTAAAAATGCAAAAAGAAAACCGGGACCGACTTGCGACCTGCCCGGCCTTGGGCTGTTTCGGACCGGTCATGGACCTGGCCCGGGATCAGCTTGATTTTTCAAATATATTATTGTTTTTATTGTTGATACCCAACGGCCATATGACCATTTTTTCTCCATTTTGACCTTTTTTTTTTGTCTCCTTTACCTCTATTTCATATATGCAAGTCGTATGGTGTATGAGAGAAGATACCAAGTCACAAACGTTCATAAATCTTGTTACAATTCATGATTTCAGCTCGTATATTTGCAAAATAATGTATTTTTTAAGTGTATTTAACTGACTCAATTACATATTTTCAACTGTATTATAATAACACTTTTATATTCGTTAAAAAAACTTAAAAACAAGAAAACTATGTAAAAAATCGATTTAAAAAAAAAATACATAGGACCGATTTGGGCACGACCAGGGACCGGTTCTCATAACCGGTTACAAAGCACCTAAACCGAGCCTTGGGTTTTTGGTCGGGATCGGGACCGGTTACGAGGATAGTGTTTGGATGAAAAATGTTATTTTCAATCTCTGTTTCAAACCTTACAGACTGTTTGCTATCAACTTACGTGAAAGGGTTCAGTGAAAAAGCAAAAAACAGTTACAGTAACGGATCTTAGAATTTTAATAATAGGGTTAAAATTTTCATCTTATTTATCTTTTTGATTAAGATGATATTATTGTAATATTTTTTCAAAAACCTTTCCCTTTTTTCTAGCAAAAGTAATAAACCAATTAAAAAAAATAATTAACAAGAATTTAATAATTATGCATCAACTGATAAACCTTAACACTACTATTTAAGAGCATTTCCAACAAATTATCTAATATAAAGAAATGCAGATTTTGAGAATTTTGAGCTGTTTTTTTTCCTTCAACAGATTTTCCAAAACTTTATTCAAAATGAAAAAAAGTAGAAGAAAAATGACTACAAATTTGGAGAACTTTTTAAAAATGATTGAAGAGAAAAATGATTTTTTTTTAATTATTCCATCAATAAAAATATTTGAAATTAAATATATAAAAGAGAAAAAATAATATTTTATTAAATATATTAATTATTTTAAATAATATAATTAATGATATCTTTCGAGTTAAATGAAATATTTTTTATTATCCATTTTAAATAATCTTTTGGAAAAATACCTATTAGAAATTAACTAACAAACTGTAACCATAACAATTACCAAAAAGTTAATAATTGAACATCAACTAATAAATTCGACCTTAAGGTGTTCGCGAAATGTTTTTGGATGAAATAAAATATGTTAAAGAAATTTGACTTTGAAAGAATTGGAATTGAATGTTGTCAGGTTTGATCACCTGTTTGGTTGACAGACAGTATAATGGAATCTGTTAAGAAATTTGAATATGTATGTTTAATTCACATGATGTAGCTTTGGAATAGGAATGAATATTGGTAAATGACCAAAATGGTTTTTTTTGAAAAAATTATTTAAAAAAAAAATTAAGAATACTAAAATTTAATAAAGTAAATATTTAATATATAAAACAATGTAAATACAACCCAAATATAACCATAAGCCAAACAACGTTACTAAATCAACGGTGGTCGACGGTGGTTTAGATCGGTGGTGGTCCACGGTAGTTCAGATAGGTGGCGGTCTGCAGTGGTTCAGATGGCGGTGGTCGGCAGTGGTTCAGATCGACGGTGGTCCGTGGTGGTTCAGATGGAGGTGATCAACGATGGTTCAGATCGGGGTGTCGACGGTGGTTCAGATTGGTAGTTGTTCAAATCGTTGGTGGTCGACGGTGTCTGGCAGTAATTTAGATCGGTGGTAGTTGCCGATGGTTGACAGTGGTTCAGATCAGTGGTGCTTCAGGTGGCGGTGGTAGAATGTGGTTCAGATCGGTGGTGGTCCATGATGGTTCATATGGCGGTGATCGGCGGTGGTTTAGATGGCGATGGTAGTCGGCCGTGGTTCAGATGGCCATGTTCGGCGGTAATTCAGATTGACGGTGGTCGACGATGGTCACATAGGGTTTTATGAGATTAAGGTATATTGGTTAAAAGCATATTTACTATTATAAAAATAGAGAATTCCGTTCCATCAAAATACCATGTAGTTGTTAAAGAATGTTAAATTTATTTATTTGTGGAATCTATATGATTTTAAATATTCCTTTCATGAAAAAGAATAACCTAAACGAGAAGTAAAATTTGGTCAATAAAATTATAAAATTCAACATTCCAATTCCATCAAATTCCTTCAGAACCTGCAAACCATCCGACCATAAAAATTTCCAAAAAAAACTAATAATTAAACATCAACTAATAAAAATTATAAATTATACTTCAACTAACAAAAAAAAACAATTAATGTAAAAAACAAAAATATTTAATAAAAAATTAACAATGAAACATGCTAATTTGTTGTGAGTGGACCATTTTATATTTGTAGGGTCAAAACAATATTATATATGTTTATATAAAATAGAATTTAGCGTGTGAGAAACATATTTTCGAAAATTTATAGCACAAAATACTGTAAGTTACAGTATAATAAAATTGGGTTTATAGAACACCATCAATTTCTAAGCGTTTCAATATAACGTTTTATAGGACTTAATTTATAGAACCAAAATATAAAGTGTCATATCTAAAGGCGTTGTAATAAATTTATATGACGCTTTTGGGCGTCTTAACAAGTTTTTTAGAACATTTTCAATACAAAGTGTCGGATTAGCAACTTTATAGGACATTTTTGAGAAAATGTACTATAAACTTAATTTTTTTTATAGGACACTGTTTTTATAGAACAATTTTTTAAATAATGTCATATAAAGTTGCTAATGTGACGCTTTATATTAAAAGTGTTCTTAAAAAGTTATTAAGATGTCAAAAACATCATATAAATTTGTTACAACGCCTTTAGATATGATACTTTATTTTTTGGTCATACAAACTAAGTCCTATAAAGAGGTCTATTAGGACGCTTAGACATTGAGAGCGTCGTATAAACACAATTTTGTTATAATAAATGGTCCTATAAACTAAGTCCTATAAAGAGGTCTATTAAGGCATTATTTGAAAAAATTTCTTATAAAAACAAGTGTCCTATAAAATGATGGATTTATAGCAAAAGTGTCGTATAAAATAGCTAATAGAATGATTTATATTAGAAGTATCATATAAAACTTGTTAACACACTAAAAAATGACCTATAAACTTATTACAACACCTTTAGATAATGACCCTTTATTCTTTGATCCTATAAATTGAGTCCTATAAAGCAGTCTAATAAGATGGTTTGAAATTGGTGGCATCTTATAAACTCAATTTTGTTGTAGTGACAATTTGATCACTACATTGAAGCTTTGTTTTGTAGGAATTCACAGAGGCGCCTTCATCCAACCTCGATAGTATTGAATGCTCCTTCCATCCAAGCATAATAGTTGCATTTTGATGGGATACGGTGCATTAGTGCTGGTATGGTTGCACCCAAGTTCAAACCTAAGGAGGAATAAAAATCCTCTTGTGGCCACAGACATTCAAATGCGGTGACTCCGGGCTATCTGCAAAGTAGGTGGTCGCCCTGGGATTAGTCGGCTTGCATAGCGCGTTGGATATCCAGGTTAATAAAAAAAATACTTGCATTTTAGACACTACAACAAAATTGAGTTTATAGGACACCCCAATCTCTAAGCGTCCCAATAGACCACTTTATAGGACTTAATTTATAGGACCAAAATATAAAACGTCCTATCTGGAAGTGTTGTAATAAGTTTATATGACGCTTTTAAGCGTCTTAACAAGTTTTTAGGGCATTTTTAATACAAAGTGTCGAATTAGCAACTTTATATGACACTTTTGAGAAAGTGTCCTATAAACTCATTTTTTTATAGGACACTTGTTTTTATAGGACAATTTTTCAAATAGTGTCCTATAAAGTCGCTAAAGAGACGTTTTATATTAAAAGTATCCTAAAACACTTATTACGACATCAAAAAACGTCATATAAACTTATTACAACACCTTTATATAGGACACTTTATTTTTTTGGTCATATATATTAAGTCATATAAAGAGGTCTATTAGAACGCTTAAAAATTAGAAGTGTCCAATAAACCCCATTTTGTTGTAGTGAAAGTCAGAACTATCTTATTTAAAAATAAGATCTGAAATAATAAAATATACGAAAAAACCTTACATTTCTCTTAAAGAGATAAATATATTCTTTTCAACCAATTTATATATACCAGAAGGGTACTCACGCAATGCAGCGAGATACATCTTGATTTTAATGTTTCATTTTATATTTTGGGTCTATCATATCGATGTTATAATGCGATTTTATGTGGTTTTGAGAAAACAAAAAATGTTTTTATTTTTGAATAAAATATAAATTCGAAGATATTATAAAATTTGAAAAAATAATCGTTATTAGTATCAAATTAACTATTTAAAAGTTCTCCTTTTTGTGTAATTTCTTTAATTCAATTTTTTATTATAATTTAATTGAAGTTTAATAACGAACATGCTGGTTCTTCGATGAAGTTTTTAATGAATTTATAGTCAGATCGTTCCTGCGTTTTGGATATGAAGTTTTAGTATTCTGTAATGAATAACAAGAGTCTGCTACTAGAGGGAATCCCGATTTCCTTGATCCTTCATCTGGCTGGGCTGTCAATAGATCAGTAAGCTGGCACTATAACAAAATTGGGTTTATAGGACGTCCCCAATCTCTAAGTGTTCCAATAGACCACTTTATACGACATAATTTATAGGACCAAAACATAAAACGTTTTATCTAAATACGTTGTAATAAGTTTATATAACGCTTTTGGGCGTCTTAACACGTTTTTTAAGACATTTTAATACAAAGCGTCGCATTAGCAACTTTATAAGACACTTTTGAAAAATTGTCCTATAAACTCAATTTTTTATAGGAGACTTGTTTTTATAAGACAATTTTCAAATAGTGTTCTATAAAGTTGCTAATGAGACGCTTTATATTAAAAGTGTTAAAAAAAAACTTATTACGACGTCAAAAAAAGGTCATATAAACTTATTACAACACATTTAGATAAGTCACTTTATTTTTTTGGTCCTATAAACTAAGTCCTATAAAGAGATCTATTAGGACGCTTAGAATTTGAGAGTATCATATAAACCCGATTTTGTTGTAATGTGGCCCACATCTCTTGCCTTAAAGGTTTCACTGCTCTAACTAGGGCTTCTATGTTGCTTGGTCGGGACACATTCATCGATTTCTTTTAATTCTTCTTGCTTGATGTCTACTTCGCGAGTCTTCACTAATCCCTACAGGTGTCCGTAGTAGGCCGACCGCCCTACCTAACCAATCATTATTTATTTTGGTTTAATAAAATAAAATTTTAAGATAATAATTAAATATACTGTTAGGACTCAATGATTATCTTAATTATATTTTATATTTTTTATATTATCATTTATTTGATTATGTTTATCAGTTACACGAATTCAAACATGGAGCTTTAAAAATATGTACTCATGCACATTTTAATTGTAATATTAAACTTTAAGTAATATGTATCAATAAACAATATTTTATGCATAAAAAACTGTTTTTAATTTTTTTTTTGTCAAATACTTTATAATATAGTACAGATACATCAATTTAATTATGTGAAGGAGTTTGAAGCGTAGAATAGTGGTGGAGAAAAGAATAAAATCACTCTTATCTTTTATTCAGAAAAAATACTTGATACACTGAACATGACATAACAGAAAAGAACAAACTAAAACCAGAAATACATACAAGAGCTCATTATATATATATATATATATATATATATTCAAATAAAACCATCATTTCTTGGTTTTTCATTGGAAGTAATTAATGTTCTTTCACTTTCTCAAAGAACTTAACGTGGACCCCATTTGGAAATTGTAAGCCTGGAGTCCGTACAATCTCTCCACTGATTAGTTCCCACCTGAGAATTTAAAGGGAATTCAAGTTGGTAATCACTCCAATAAATCGGTTTTTTAAATCGCATATATATATATATATATATATTTATATACGACAAATGTAACAAATAAACTTATACACCCTTCTCATATTTGGTGAGGTTTGAACCTCTGATCTCCTAGGAGGCCAAAGACTATGATTCCGCTAGACTAACACTACAACAAAATTGGTTTTATAGGACACCCGCAATCTCGAAGTGTCCCAAAAAACCGCTTTATATGACTTAATTTATAGGACCAAAATATAGAGTGTCATATCTAAAAATGTTGTAATAAGTTTGTACGACGCTTTTGGGCGTCTTAAAAAGTTTTTTAAGACATTTTTAATACAAAGTGTCACATTAATAATTTTATAGGACACTTTTGATAAAAGTGTCCTATAAACTCAATTTTTTATAAAACATTTGTTTTTATAGGACATTTTTTTAAATAGTGTCATATAAAGTTGATAATGAAGATAAAAGTGTCCTATAAACTCAATTTTTTACAAGACATTTGTTTTATAAGACATTTTTTTTAAATAGTGTCCTATAAAGTTGATAATGAGACGTTTTATATTAGTGTCCTAAGAAACTTATTACGACGTCAAAAAACATCATATAAACTTATTACAACGCCTTTAGATATGACGCTTTATTTTTTTGGTCCTATAACTAAGTCTTATAAAGAGGTCTATTAGGACGCTTAGAAATTAAGAGTGTCCCATAAACCCGATTTTGTTGTAGTGTGAATGCATACCCCACTACAACAAAATTGGTTTTATAGGACGCCCCTAATCTCTAAGCGTCCCAATAAACCGTTTTACAGGAACAAGATATAAAACGTCACATCTAAAGACGTTGTAATAAGTTTATATGACGCTTTTGAGCGTCTTAACAAGTTTTTTAGAACATTTTTAATACAAAATGTCGCATTAGCAACTTTATAGGACACTTTACACTTTCTTTACAAGACACTTGTTTTTATAGGACAGTTTTTCAAATAATGTTCTATAAAGTTGCTAATGAGACGCTTTGTAATAAAAGTATCCTAAAAAACTTATTACGACGTCAAAAAATGTCATATAAACTTATTACAACGCCTTTAGATAAGACACTTCATTTTTTGGTCCTATAAACTAAGTCCTATAAAAAGGTCTATTAGGACGCTTAAAAATTGAGAACGTCCTATAAACCCGATTTTATTACAGTATTAATTACTGATTTGTCTATCTGTACCTGTACTTTGTGACTAGCCGGTGGAGAAAGACAGCCATTTGAAGTCTAGCAAAATCTGCTCCAACACAAAACCTTTGGCCACCTCCAAAAGCCATGAAAGTCTTTGATGTACCTTTGAAATCCATATTCTGCTTGCAGAGTTCATTCATAACAAATTATTTACAAAAAAGAATTGGATTTATAAAGAGGTCTATTAGGACGCTTAGAAATTGGGAGTGTCTTAGAAACCCGATTTTGTTGTAGTGTTTGAAACAACTTATGCTTTTCTGCAAAATCACTTATCAACTTATTATAAGTCTGAAGGGTTTAACTTCTTCAAAAACTCCTTATTACCGGTTTGACACCGGTATAAGTTGTTTATCCAAATACTTAAAAGTGTTTATTAACAGTGTCATACCGGAATAAGTCGATAAGTTTAAATGTATGAAAATAACTAATAAATACCTCCCATCTCCATGGATTGAAGTCAAGTGGATCCTCATAGTTGGCAGTGTCTAAATGGACTGCTGGTGGACATACCATGACTACCCAACCAGATGGAATTGTGTAATCTGTAATTAATCAATAAGCCACATCAATACTTTCGTTACTAAATGGAAGATTTTTACTTACGGGTTTTGAGAAATCTGTTGTTAAAGACGTGATTCGTCACAAAACCGTTACAAAAATTGATGGATAAATTGTTGGTGAGAGACTCAAATCATTGCCGGATTATCCAGGCACTTTCAGAGTGACCCGTTGGTATTTTCTTGAAAAATATCGGATTCTACTGAAATCATTGGTATTTTCTGGGTGATCCTTCGGTAATCACCGACGGAAATTTCGTGGATGATTTTTATGGGTAAAAGTCATTTGTTTTGTTGTGTTTCGTAGCATGCATCTTGATTATTATCTTTATAAATTTACAAGCCGTTAATTTCGGTACATGAACAAAATCGGCTTTATAATACGTTAACATGTATAAATGTCTCAAAAAACTGTTTTATAGGACTCATGATATATAAATGTTATGTTAAACTGTTTTATATGATCAAATAATTGAACGTTTTATATAAAAGTTTTACAATAAGTTGATATGACGTTTTCGAACATTTTGAAATAAAATGTACCATTATATATATATATATATATATATATATATATATGAAAAACTCATCTTAATGTGTGTGTGTGTGTGTATATATATATATATATATCTCAATTGATTGAGTTGCATTGTACAAATGTGATGAGTTGCGTTTGAAACGTCCACTCTATATATATGACATTATTTGAAAAACTCTCTTAGGGTCCGTTTACCAAATGTTTACTTGGATAAGTGCTTACCAAGTTATATTACCTTATCGGATGAATATGGTAAGGACCAAAAATCTTACTCGGTAAGAACGATGCAAGGTTGAGAGTCTTGCCCGATAAGTGAGGGCAATGACTCTTTCCATAGTCAGCTCTTACCGGGTAAATTGTTGCATAGAAAGCCGTTTTCTTGACTAAAATCTTACCCGGTGGCGGTAAGTAAATAATAGTATTGAATTTTACCGGTAAGTGTTTACCGGGTAAGTGTTTGGTAAACAACCCCTTAGTGTCATATAAAAGATATGTTCATATAAATGACAATTTTTAAAAGTTTTTATAAAAAATTAATATAATACTTTATCTCAAAAAATGTCCTAAAAAAACTTGTTAGAAAATCCAAAATTTTCATATCAATTTATTGTAACACTTTTACATATATAACACACAATTGTTTGTTCCTATAAACATAAAACCCGCAAAGCAGTCTGTTATAATATTTAGATATATCTGATATCCTATAAAAAAAAAAATATTGTGTTGTAATGTTTGGATATTTACCTTTGAACTTCACATCTGTTAGTGCTTTTCTGAATATTCCTGGTACTATATTTGCTAGCCTTACTGATTCATTTATCACCTGCCATTAATACTTTTATCACTAACCGACAAAAATAGATATTCTCGTATCATTATAACAAAATTAGATTAATAAGACGTCACCAATAAATAAATGTCTTAATAGACCACTTTATAATTAAGACATAATTTATATGATCAAAATATAAACCTTTTATCTAAAAGCGTTGTAATAAGATTATATAACGTTTTTGTACGTCATAACAAGTTCGTTAGGACATTTTTATTGAAAACGTCATATTAGCTAAAAAGATGGGTTTATAAGACACTTTTTCTAAAGTGTTCTATAAAATAGTTGGTGTGACATTTTGGATTAAAAGTGTTCTAAAAAAACTTGTTAAGAAGTCAAAAAACGTCATATAAACTTATTACAACGCTTTTAGATATGATTTTTTTTTGTCTTATAAATTAAGTCTTATAAAGCAGTTTATTAAGACGTTTATTTATTGATGACGTCCTATAACCTAATTTTGTTGAAGTGCATGCATTATTTAATTTCACACCTCGAACGTGAATTTCATCGACTTATATTCTTCCCATGTAATTCCAGACTCGGGATTTTCCCGCATTTCTAAGATTTTTTCGTGTTCTTCCTGCACCAAATTAAATGTAAGTGTTCGCACGAAAATTAAATATAAATTTCTCGACTTAAAATAATCTCGACTTTATATATATATATATATATTATTGAGGAAGAATAATGGGAGAAGTTAATTAATTTGTAAAAAATACGAGAAGTTTCAATATCGTATATGATTATACTCATTTGGTTCTGTTTAATCATATATGATTACATGTCTATATGTTGTCAATACAACATGTGTTTAATCATATATGATTAAACGTGTATTTCATGTGTGTAATCATATATGATATCAAAACTTCCCGTCTTCTTGCAAATTGACCACCTTCTCCTTTAACCTAACCCATTATATACACACATATACATATATATATATATATATATATATATATATATATATATATACAGACACGTACTGTTAATTCCTTCAATGCTTTAGGGTTTTCGGTGAGAAGCTTGACTGCTACCAACAAGGCAAGTGTAGTTGTTTCATAGCTTGCAAACAAAAGCATAAACATCATGTCCAGTGCTATTGCTTCTGTAACTATCGTATCATCCTGCTTCAGTTCTTCCACCACGAAATCGAAGAAATCACTGTTCACATCATTAGGGTTTTCCCGTCTTTCCTTTAGCATCTTCTTCAGCAATCTCATTGCCTTCTTTCTTCCCTGCACATTCATCAGTTTCATCCATATTTCATCACAAATCAATGGAAAACTGTGATCATTTCACCTATACATACATATATATATATATACACACACTGACACACACACACACACACTCTGGCATACCTGTAGACACTTGTAGAAAGATGTTCCAGGAAATGGTATAGGAATTGAAATCAAACCCTTGATAAAAGCTTCATAGTTCTCCCTTAGATTCTCAGATGATTTCTCCATGTCATAACTTATCAGTTTTCTTGAAGTCAGACCAAATATCATCTGTTCACCAAAACATATGATGATAAGCTTAATTCATTAAGACGTCATCAGTAGAAACTACATGCAGTTACTTACATCTGCAATTGCTGCTTTCAGCTCCACTGTTGTTCCTTGTTCAGCCCATTTCTCTATGGCTTTTACAGCTTCAGTTTCAACTTCTGAAAGCATCTTCTTAAGACCTCCATAACCAACCAAATGCAGCATCATGTTCTTGAGATACTTATGAAGATACCCATACAAAACACTTGGATTCTGCTTTCCAAACACCCTTGTCATGCTCTCTGGGTACCAGCTCTGAAATTGGTCCTCTTGTTGGAACACCTTGTAGTTAAGATCCCCATCGGTCGAAACTATAACTTTCATCCCAACGAAACTCGTTCGAAATATCGACCCATATCTGTGTATATATATGTATATATGTTATAAGAGGTATGTAGTGGAACATGAATTCGAAACAAAACCATGCATGCAAATCAAGTAAAAACCATGTAAAAGTTAGAAACTGTAAGAACCAACTAACACGGCCATTTTCTTATCCTTGTTGTTACTGTTTTCGTATGAACCAAACTGTATATGTATGTATGGGTAAAAGTGTAATTCACCTTTGGATCCTCTTTTTGATGAAGGGAGGGGTGTCCCAGGTTCGGTTAGGGGCGAAAAACTGAATGCTTTCGCCGAGTAACGGCCAACCCATCGAGCCTGGCGGAAGTTTGCCGTTGCATTTAGGGTTCCGCCATCTGTAAACCCAATGTGTAATGGCTACTACCGCCAGAGCTGCAATGAGTGAACTAAGAGGCCACATTTTTAGTGTGCTTAAGTTTATGAAGCAAATTGTTATAGTTTTGTACTCAGTTTTAGCCCCTATTTATACAAAGGAAGTACCCACCTAACTACGGTTACAAGATAACCCAATAATCTAACTCTGGTTAGCAAGCGACATTGAGAGTCTAACTAATCTTCTAAATGAATATTAACTTGATAAGTAAAAAAATGGTGTTAGTGGTTACGGTGGCACGTACCACCGTATTATTTCTTCGTCGAAGGGTAAAAAAATTTAGGTTTGTGAAAGATGTAACCGTATTAATCGGTTGTGTGCCACCGTATGTATTTTGAAACTACAACGAGAACAAGTTTTATTTGGTAGAGTTGGTTTGCAAGGCTTTTATTCCACTCAAGACCCAAATTCAAATCTTGTTAGTGTCATTTTCTTAGTCAAATAGTGTTACCGATTGAAAAAAATTATGTATATTTGTTTCTTATAGTCAACCGGTGCCACTGTTTGAAATTTTTTTGCTATAGTTTTTTCTTATAGTCAAATGGTGCCACTGTTTGAAAAAAAAAAAACTGGGTCCGTCCCTGGTGTTAATCCTATTAGAGATAATTAAGGTAGAATGGAAATGTAAGACCATCCACATCCCTGCAATCCATTTACACTTTCAATTGTGCCACATCAGCTTTTGCAATTACCACCTACACACTTGCAATTCACCTACACTTTCAAAAGTGGTCCCCACTACAACATTTATTAACTATTTTATAAATTACTTATATATACATTCTAATTATTTTTTAATTAATAACATGTTTTATATGTAATTTTATAGCTTAGATTATATATACCTTAGATTATATGTAACTTTATCAATATTATATGTTTTAATATGTATAATTTTAATTTTAGGTGATGATAAAATTTAATGTTTAAATTAATTTAACTATATTAATTAAACATATTTATTATGATTGTATTTATATTTTATTAAAAAAATAATATATATATATATATACATATATATATATATATATATATTAAATAAGAGTAATTAATTTTATGTATTAAAAAAGTTTGTTTGGGTCTAGTTGGCATTGCAATAATAATTGCAAAATTTGCAAGTGCAAGACAAAACTATGATGAGGTGGCCATTTGCAATTCTTTTTGAAAGGGTTTTGCAAGCCCTATATGGATGGTCTAAGGAGGAAGAAAATGATGATGTGGTGGTTAAGGAATAATAATGCAAAAAGACCCTTTAGTCCCTAGTTAATTCCGTAAAACATTTTCATCGTAGTCATGAACCCGACCTTTTTTGCGTGTGGGAAGGATATTTTAGTCATTTTATATGTAAATTTCATTAAAAAAAGTTAAAAGAATAACCTAACCATCGATTACTTTAAAATCACCAACCGTCATTGCCCTTGGTTGATCAACCGTTAATACAACTTTAACCTTGTGTATAGGGGTGGTGGAGGGAGCACTGCAACAAAATTGGGTTTATAGAACACCCTTAATTTTTAAGCGTCTCAATAGACTGCTTTATAGAACTTAATTTATAGGAACAAAATATAAAGCGTCCTATCTAAAGGTGTTGTAATAAGTTTATAGGACGCTTTTGGGCGTCTTAACAAATTTTTTAGGACATTTTTAATACAAAGTGTCTAATTAGTAACTTTATATGACACTTTTGAGAAAGTGTCTTATAAACTCAATTTTTTATAGAACAGTTTTTCAAATAGTGTCCTATAAAGTTGCTAATGAGACGTTTTATATTAAAAGTGTCCTAAAAAACTTGTTACGACGTCAAAAAACTTCATATAAACTTATTACAACGCCTTTAGATATGACACTTTATTTTTTTGGTTCTATAAACTAAGTCTTATAAAGAGGTCTATTAGGACGCTTAGAAATTATGAGTGTCCTATAAACCCGATTTTGTTGTATTGAAAAGACAAATTTACCCTTGTACGAGAAGAGAATTAACAGATAGATGAAAGTAGGTAGATCGACTAAATTCACAATAAAACTTGGTATTTTTCTTTTTGAAGTATATACTACGGTAAATAGAACAAATAAACTCACACACTTTTTGAACCCCTGACCTTTTAAGAGGTTAAAGACTCACATACCCACTTTGATAAAACTTGTTACTTTATAACATTAAAGAATTAGAAACCATAAAAAAACCTCATGTTTTTTATTCTTTGTCGTGGTCGTTTATTGACCATGCGATTAGATAAAAGAAATACGTCCCCAATAAAAGACGAGCATGAAACATGTTCCTGATATTTTGTAATACAGATTCTTATCTTATCATAACGAAATCATCAATAAAAGGATCCCCAATGATGAACAACTTTATTGTAGTCGTTACAAACTATAACAAATTTGGATTTATAGGACACCCCCAATCTCTAAACGTTTCAATAGACTGCTTTATAGGACTTAATTTATATGACCAAAATATAAAGCGTCTTATCTAAAGGTGCTGTAATAAGTTTACACGACACTTTTGGATGTCTTAACAAGTTTTTTAGAACATTTTTAATACAAAGTGTCGTATCAGCAACTTTATAGGACACTTTTGAGAAAGTGTCCTATAAACTCAAGTTTTTATAGGACACTTGTTTTTATAGGACATTTTTTTCAAATAGTGTCATATAAAGTTGCTAATTGGACGTTTTATATTAAAAGTGTCATAAAAACTTATTACGACGTCAAGAAACGTCATATAAACTTATTACAACACCTTTAGATAGGACATTTTATTTTTTTGGTTCTATAAACTAAGTCCTAAAAAGAGTTCTATTAGGACAGTTAGAAATTGGCACTACAACAAAATTGAGTTTATAGGACACCCCCAATATTTAAGTGTCCCAATAGACCTCTTTATAAGACTTAATTTATATGACCAAAATATAAAGTGTGCTATCTAAAGGTGTTTTAATAAGTTTATATGACGTTTTTGGGTGTCTTAACAAGTTTTTTAGGACATTTTTAATACAAAGTGTCGCATTAGCAACTTTAGATGACACTTTTGAGAAAGTGTCCTATAAACTCATTTTTTATAGGATACTTGTTTTTATAAACTAAGTCCTATAAAGAGGTCTATTAGGACACTTAGAATTTAAGAGTGTCCTATAAACCCGATTTTGTTGTAGTTTAGAAGTGTCTTATAAACTGGATTTTGTTGTAGTGTTACTTTATTTCACTTCCTATTTTAAATCCACCATTTATATTATTCTACTAAATAATACAGATCAAATTACATGAAAAATAACATACTTTAACTTAATTCCTATTTTGAGGTAATGTATTATCAAAACTTTCATTTTGATATTTAAGATGTAAAATTTTAAACATTTAAGTACTCGGGTAACTAGTTGAATCATTAACCGGCATTACAACAAAATTGGGTTTACAGGACACCCCCAATCTTAAAAAATTGCTATAAACTTAAAATTAAAATATTAAAATTAGAAATTGTCCTATAAAGTTGCTAATGAGACGCTATATATTAAAAGTGTCCTAAAAAACTTACTACGACGTCAAAAAACGTCATATAAACTTATTACAACATCTTTAGATAAGACATTTTTTATTTTTTTGGTCATTTAAACTAAGTCCTATAAAGAGGTCTATTAGGACACTTAGAAATTGGGAGTGCCCTATAAACTCGATTTTGTTGTAGTGCGGTTACCATGCTGATGTAGCGAGTGATGAGATGAAATTGAGTTGAATAACAAATAATATTGAGTTGGATATCACATCACTTGCCACTTCAACATGGTAAATGGTTACCCGAGTACTTAAATGTTTAAAACTTTACATCTTAGGTATCAAAATGGAAGTTTTGAAAGTACGTTACCTAAAATAAGAATCAAGTTAAAGTACGTTATTTTTTCATGTAATTTGCACAGTAATATATAGAAGGTTATTTTGTACCGTTGCAATGAAATTAAAGGGGAATTTTTGATGATATATCATTATAACAAAATCAAGTTTATTGGATGTTATCAATTTTAAAGCGTTATAATAGAGTTATAGAATGTTTTATAGTACTTAAATTTATAGTTACAAAACATAAATGGTCATATCTAAAGGCGTTGTAATAGGTTTATGAGACGCTTTTGAGTGTTTTTAAAAAGTTTTTTTTAAAACACTTTTAATGCAAAACGTTTCATCAGCTATTTTATGCGATACTTTTAAGAAAATGTCCTATAAACATGTCTTTTTATAGGACACTTGTTTCTATAAGACATAAATTACTGTGTCTCTGTACCGACTAAACCAATGACACTACAACAAAATCGGATTTATAGGACACTCTCAATTTTTAAGTGTTCTAATAGACCTCTTTATAAGACTTAGTTTATAGGACCAAAAAAATAAAGTGTTCTATCTAATGGTGTTGTATTAAGTTTATATAACGTTCTTTTGATGTCGTAATAAGTTTTTTAAGACACTTTTAATATAAAGCATCCCATTATCAGCTTTATAGGACACTATTTGAAAAAATGTCTTATAAAAACAAATGTCCTATAAAAAATTGAGTTTATAGGACAATTTCTCAAAAGTGTCATATATTGTCCTATAAAGTTGCTAATGCAACACTTTGTAATAAGAATGTCCTTAAAAATTTGTTAAGACACCCAAAAGCGTCGTATAAACTTATTACAACACCTTTAGATACTTTATATTTTGGTCTTATAAATTAAGTCCTATAAAGCGGTATATTTGGGACACTTAGATATTGAGGGTGTCCTATAAACCCAATTTTGTTGTAGTGTGTATTTTTTTCTCTTTTAGCCTATGGTAGTCAGAGTCAGTACGCTTTATGTTATCTTTATATTATATATGAAAATAGATAAGAAATGAGAGCTGACAAGACACGAAACTTCTCGAAGAGGTTGGGAGACTCC